CCTTGAAGAACTGGCTCGCCCGTCAGGCCTGGGGATAAGGATGCCTACCCCTCCCGAATGATGAATGTATGTTGCCTACTATTTTATTATATGTTGTATCTTAATGTCTGTATTCCCCCCTCCCGGTTTTCTGTGAGCCGCCCTGAGTCCCCTCAGGGAAAAGGGCGGCCTACAAATTCTAATAAAACCATAAAAAAAAAACACCATTGTGTCTTATCTCTTCTAGCAGGTTCCATTGATATTAGGATTCTAATTTCCATCATTCCCAGCTCACGCAGTGCTTTCTGGCCTAGCTTGACTATTATTTTGCTTTGCACCATGGGATTCTGTGCAGCAGTGCTACTTTCTGTTCACTTTGAGTGGGCCTTCTTCTTGTTAAAATTAATAAAAAGAGCATAACAAGGTTCTTTTTGTGCCAAAGATTAGAATGTGTCAAATCGCACACTGCAGCCAAAGAACAGAATAAATAAACCCCATGTGCTGATAGGGCTTCAGGGTCAAAATCCAGGCCAGTTGAGAATGATGCAACAAGAAAATCCTTTCCTGAATATTCTTCCAAATTTTATGGATTGACCAAGTGCTGGGCAAAACATGTTAAATGGGTAAAAAACATTAACACCCAGGAAGTTTTCATTTCGGGTCCAATTGAGAAACACCTCACTTTATTTATTTCTCAGCCTGCTTTTGAAATAATCAACTTAGTCTCTTTAGTTTTTTGAGAAGGTAAATAGATCATTACAGGTAATCTTTGACTACCATATTTTTCAGAGTATAAGACGCACCTTTGCCTCCTAAAAGAGTGTGGAAATGTTAGTGCGTCTTATACACCGAATACAGCCATTTTTGGCCTTCCGAAGCCCCACCCCGCATCCCATTTTTGCAAAAAAAATAATTAAAAAAATGGGCTGTTTTTCGCAAAAACTGAGGCATTTTTATCTTCCCCCAGCCCCTAGCAGCACTCTGCAGGCTTCAGCAGAGCTGGGGGAATGCAAAAAATGCCCCCGTTTTTGTGAAAAATGGCCAGTTTCCCGCTGTTTTTTTGCAAAAACTATGTTTTTGCTTTCTCCCAGCCCTGCTGAAGCCTGCAGAATGCTCCTGGGGGCTGGGGAGGACAAAAGCTTTTTTTCTTACTTACTTACTTCGAACTCGTGTGTCTTATAGTCTGAAAAATACTGTATTTGTTTAGTGACTGTTCAACGTTACAATGGAACTGGAAAGAATGACTTAGGAACAGTTTTTCCCACTTACTGCCATTGGAGCAGCCTCACCGTCACATGATCAAAATTCGGGCGTTTGGAAAATAGCATGTACTTATGACAGTTTTACTGTCCCAGCGTGATGTAATCATCATTCTCAACCTTCCAACAAGCAAAGTCAATGAGGAAACCCAGATTCCTTGAACATGATTCAATGAATTGCAATATCACTTAACAACAACCGTGGCAAAAACAGTTTTCTAGATGGCATTTGCCACCAGCAAGATTGGCAAAGATGTTTAAAGATAAATCAGCTAAATGTTGGAAAGGTCATCAGCTACCTGGCTCGTATGGTGGACATATATAGAAACAAAAAAAAATATTGGACAAAAATACATACGTGGTTGGAAAAGATGATACAACAACATATTGACTTGAAACCTGAAATATTCCTGTTGGGGATCTTACCAGAAACTTAGAGCAAAGAAAATGCATATTTGCTTATCCATGTAACAACTGCAGAAAGAATTGTATTTGCGCAAAACTGGGAAAGTGAAGAGATTCATACAGAGAAGAACGTGATTAGGAAAATATGAGAACGTGCAGAAATGAACAGATTAACACTGGTATTAAAGAGAAAGAATTGATTATTATACTATATGGGAATGATTTTACTGATGGTTAAATAATAAATATCAGAATTAGAAATAAAAGGAGATAAATAAAATATAGAAAATGTACTAATAGAGTTAAATAGATCAAGAAGAGTATTGTTATAATATTAGACATTTAAGGTATTGGTATTAAGCTAAGAATAGATTAAAAATGAATATGATTGTAAATTTTAATTATTGCACAAAACATTTCTACCTAGACAACACACTGTTTAATGGAAGATGGACTGTTTGTATTAAAATAAAATAAAATTAAAAAAAAAAACAACTGTGGCCAAAAAAAGTCATCAAATTGGGCCCAAATCACAAAAGTTTTCTTGCTTAGCAATGGAAATTTTGGGTTCACTTGTAATCCTAAGTTGAGATAGTATCCCTTTGTTTTCATGGATTTTTTAAAAATATCATTTTCTCTTTTGATAAGGCACCTCCTGCACCTACAGCACAAGAAGAGCCCAAAATTCCAATCAGTCTCGTTCTACGATTAAGGTAAGCAGGCTGGGGATGAGAGAAAGCTAAACTGGTCCAGGGGCAGGGATGCTGGAAGTGGAGTGGGAAGATCCAGTGTTCTTCTTCTGATGTCATCCATTCAATCGTGTCTGACTCTTGGCAATTCAATGGGGCCCATCTCTCCACCGCTTCCGATCTTGCAATGCTTTTTTGAGTTGTTCTGTGCTCTGAGGGGTGTCAGCTTTGAAGGTGTCCAGCCACCGTGTTCTTGGGGAGGATTGGTTTCCTTTTACCACTAACTTTTCCCAACATAATTGCTTTTTCCAGTGAATTCCCCTGCATGACGTGGCCAAAGCAAGTGAGACACAGCTTTGTGATTTTTGCCTTCCAGCGACAGGTCTGATGTTACGTACCCCAGGGATTTGCTTGTTAGTTGCCTTTGCTGTCCAAAGAATACGCTGGAGTCTTCTCCAGCACCGCAGTTCAAACAAATCGATTTTCTTCCTTCCTTGATTTTTTAAGGTCCAACTTTCACAACCCTAAGAAGCTATGCTTCTTATTCTCCCTAAACCTTACAAGCTAACTGGGTGTTAGGCCTGCAGCCATATTTCTTTTGGATTTTTGGCCTGCCACACTTTCTATTATTCTATTAGGCCTTTTCTGTTGTGCGAAAATGGGAGGGGGGAATGTACGGAGTTGGGTGATATGTAGCCAAAGCAAAGTTCCTTCTAGAAAGCCAAGGTCATCCTTTGTCTCTGCACCTCTGCACCTGACTGGAACTGGATAGGTGGAAGTGCCAGCATGGCAGTGCGAGATTGGACCATGTGATGGACTGGTGGGTGTGGGGGCAAGTTCTTGAACTTCCAACTGGGTGGGGAAAACCGGGAAATTTTCAGATTCAGGTTTTCCCAAATGTGCCAACTTGGCTCTCTTCATAAATTGGAACTTTGAGGAATCCTTTGCCTTGGACTCTGATTTAATTTTGGATACTATTTGGAACCCTGACGCTGGGTCCCTCTCTTTTACAAAACTAGTAAATTAAAAAAAACAACAACATCAACCCTGTCTACCAGTCTGTGCTGGACCAATGACCACTTTGCAGTCAGATGATTTGGATTAATGTGTTCCATTGATATTTTATTTTATTCATGCGCTATAGATTTGCAGCACTCTGATTCTAGATAAGGCATCCAGCACCCAAAATGTCTGCTCTGTGAATCCTGAGCCCCAAAATAAGATTCCTTGCATTGTGTTGGTTTCATTATGAGCTCAGGATAAAAACATAATGTTTTGTTCAATGTGCCTCTGAATTCCTTGCTAGAGGGAACAATTAACCCTCCCCTTGTCGTCATTCATCCTGGACCACAAAGTGCAGATAGTTGTCATTGCAGAATTGTAGTTGTCATTGCACAACTACAATTCAACCCAAAATTTCTATTGCTAAATGAGTTGTTAAGTGAATTTTGCCCCACTTTTCGAGGACTACCTTTGTATAGGGGTAGGAGGAGAGTTTGGGCTGGATAAAATTAATTGTAGACTGTTCCCGCGGATGCTGATTCAAAAGGCCTACCTCGGGAATAAACATGGTTTCGTATTTGTTGCAGAATGTGATTTAATGTTTGTTTGTAAACACAGATGTTGATAATACCTAACTGTGCCTCTCCACCCTGGCAGGAATTCAAAAAAGGAGCTGAACGACATCCGATTTGAATTCACACCTGGAAGAGGTGAGGGGGGGGGATGAGAAAACCTGTCTTTTACAACCTGTTGGTGACGATGTTTTGCTTGGTGGTCCTGTGCTGATTGGGTGGGTGCGGAATGTCCCGGCTGAAAAGAGGTTCCCTAAATACGGAGCAAAGATCGTATCCCATGTTAGAGCAGTTTAGGAAATGACCCAAATTTTCTGAAAAATGAATCCATAAGATTGACAGAATCTTTTCTGGATGCAGGCTCACAAAATGTTTGAAAGATGGACTGTTGGCTTGAAAGTTAAGAGTAAACCAGCTTGTACATACAATTTATAACAAAGACAAGGCACCAAAATCCTCATTATGTGCCTTTGATTTGGGATTTAATCTGAGCGTGCAACTTCTCAGAGGCCTCTTGTCTTCCAGATGTATGACCATTTCCCATCTTGGCTGAGGATTATGGGAATTATAGAGGAGGAACAGTTTATCTCAATCCTGCGAATATTACCTGGTGCTGTGTAGCATCCTTTTGCCTTTCCAATTTCCGTAATCAATCGCAGCTCACTCTCTCATGAAATACTGCAAACCTTTGCAGTGACTGTTAAGAAAAAAAAGATAATATGTTCTTGCTTCCTGCCACAATACGTCTGAAGCAGATTGTAATGAAATGAAGGCAAAGTAATATACAGTATATAGGCAGTCCCCATTCAGTGTCATTGAATGAATGAATGAAGCTGAATAGAGACCATTTGTTCAGCCAACTCTTCAAGATTACAATGGGGCTGAATAAAGAGACTTGCGACCGGTCCTCAAAATTGCTACCAGTGCGGGGTCCTTGTAGTCGCGTGATTGTGATTTGGGCACTTGGCAACTGTTGTGCAAATTAGACAGTCACAATGCCCCCTAGTCCCTTGATGGCCAGATTGCGACCTTCGCTGCCATCCTCTAAATCAGCAGAGTCAATGGGGAAGTCTGCAGAAGGATTCAAGCTGTGATCATGTCACGTCTCACTTAATGACAGCCGCTGGAAATCCAGTTAAAAGTCAGGAAGGTCACGTGAGGTCCATTCTGCCGCCACATTGCTCAGGAACAGAATTGCTGGTCCCAATTATGAGCCGAGGTGGTGCAGTGGGTAGAGTGCAGTATTGCAGGCCACTTCAGCTGACTGCTAGTTCAGCAGTTCAGCGTTTCAAATCTCACCGGCTCAGGGTTGACTCAGCCTTCCATCCTTCCGTGGTGGGTAAAATGAGGACCCGGATTCTTGTTGGGGGCAATATGCTGACTCTGTAAACCGCTTAGAGAGGGCTGAAAGCCCTATGAAGCGGTATATAAGTCTAACTGCTATTGCTATTGCTAATTACCATCATTAAGCGAGGACTATAGGTAGCCCTAGACAACCATAATTGAACCCAAAATTTCTGTTGCTAAGCAAGGCAATTGTTTGCCCCATTTTATGACCTATTTTGCTACAGTTGTTAAGCAAATTGCCGCAGTTGTTAAGTGAATCATGCAGTCATTAACCTAATCTGGCTCCCCCCCAATTAACTTTGCTTGTTGGAAGCCAGCTGGGAAGGTCACAGAAGGTGATCACGTGACCCTGGGACACTGCAGCCGTCATAAATACACGACAGTTGCCAAGCACCTGAATTTTAATCACATGACCATGGGGATGCTGCATCAGTCGTGCGTGTGAAGACTGGTCAGAAGCCCCTCTCTTCAATGCCACTGTAACTTTGAACAGTCACTAAATGAATGGTTGTAAGTCGAGGACTATCTGCAAAAC